AAATAAATGAAATCTAAATTAATGACTGATTGTGACATTTATTAATAAAACAAAAAATTGAAAATAAAATTGTTTGATTGAATAATCTGAAGATTATCTGAATTGTCAACATTATATAAAGATAATGTGTACGTATCAAAAAACTGGGAGAATTGAGATATTATAATAAAAGAAATGAAATTAAATTAATAATATAAAATCATATAATAAAACAAATATTTATCACAATAAATTTTACAATTAATAACTTTAAATTTAGAAACTCTAAATATTCTGAGCTATAATGACATATGAATAAATAATTTATTATATTAATGATAAGTTATTTTAATTGATAAGTTTTATAGATTATTTACAAAATACCCATTTATCCGCAAATAGTTTAGGAAATATCTATTTCACTTTAATAATTTTTTTTATATTTCAATCTCATCAATTCTCGACAAAATCTAATAATTCAAATCTCTTTTACACATATTATAGACATATAAAATCAATAAAAAAATAATTTAAAGATAAAAATAAAATATATAATTTAATTTATCAATGTTCTAATATAATTAATCAATATAAGATTACATAAAAAGATAAAGATAATCTTTATAAAAAAATACATTTATTTTTAAATATCAAAATGTATTTTAAACATTCGACAAGACATTTCTCATAATATCATTTAAAATCAATTCTATTTTAATATATAATCAATTAAAAATAAACATATTTTATTATTATTAGAACTTCTGATAATGTTTTCGAATTTTGATATTTAATTTATATAGATATTGTGATTATATCGTGTCATACATTGAAAGATGATCAGAACAGGTAGTAAAATTAATATTTTAATCAGAAGAATAAACAGTTTTATGCGACTTGGCACATCCAAAAAGGGTTAATTATGCATTTTTGGATAGTTCACGGGTATTCTGCGGGATACCCATGGTGAATAATGGGTAGGGGGGTCATGGGTAATGGGTAGGATTCGTCTACCTGTTCCACGGGTCTGGAACCAAAATGCCTACCCGTGGAAGTTCCATGCCGAGGTCTAGTTTTTATATTGTTAAATATTAATAAGATTATTTTGAATAATTTGATTTGCCGCAGCAACGACAAGATTTTGAAAAAATCGTTAAAAACTTATTTAAAAAAAGTTTTTAAAGAACTCTTTTGACATGGAATTTTGTATCAAGATCAGAAATTTGATAGTTTTTTGTTATGTAATAATAAAGATCACGGACATAGCAAAATGATAATTATTGATTTTAAATTGATTAACTTTTTTAATTAATTATTTTTTTGACAATACAATATCAATTAAAAAGAAACAAGATCTTTGATGAAAGACTTCAAACATCAACAAAATCTTGTTTGTGAATTGCTTTCATTTGAATTATAAAAAAATGAATATAAAAAAAATGTAATAGAATGAGTTAAATAATTTTGCATTTATCGTTAAACAAATATTGATGTTTGTTTTTATTTGGGTTGATATATCTCTGATACGACAATAATGTTGGAATTTTTTTATGATGTGATGAAAATGTGATATAAATAATTTTGTATCAAATTATCTGTACAGATATTGATCTTGAAAAAGTAAAACAAATAAAAAATATTACACAAATTCTAAATATTTCCATGAAATTGAACAATAAGCGATGATAAAAATTTGCAAATTCTAAAATGATTCAAAACTAAATAAAAAATTGTTTAATATTATATATTTATTTGTGTCATTTAGTTTAAAAGATTTATCAGATATTCAAATAATAATTAAGATTGAACAAAGTTCATTCAAAGTTATTTTTAATTTATTAAAAAAAAGATATAAAAAAACTCATAATATAAACTGAAATCAATCGCATATATTTTTATAATATTTTTTAACTCATTCTAGCGCTTCCGGGAGAAATTTCCACGACAAAGAAGATTCAAAGAATTCTTATGTTTTGCGAAAAAAACAAAAAAGTGTAATTATAATATAAACATTATCCAATTTTATAACCATTATATTTCAAAATAGTTCCAAGTCTTTGTTATAAGTAACGTATTTTCTTGTTTTATGCACTTCTCAATGACATTAGAAATTGACATTTGATCTAAACAAAAGAATACACATAATAATTATAAATATCGTTGATCTTAACTGAATCTTTTTTGCTCGACAATGTCATTTAATATTAGTTGTTCTTCTTTGTTGAAATCAATTTTAACATCCGTGTTATATTGATCGCGAATATCTTTCATGTTTAATCTTTTATAGAATGACGATGAAATAGTTATTATGAAAAAAATAAAAAATAAAAAAAATTTTTTCAAGATTTTCAAATAAAGTTTCTGAACTGTTTTATATTTATATTGAAATTGATATTATATTTTTTTAACAAATTTTTTTAGATTGTAATCAACATTTTGATTGCTTGAAAATAATCCAAAAATATTTTTTTATAATGTTATAATATGTTATAAATATTACATGACATCGATTTAGCTCTTTGTGAATATTGTAAACACAATTCCGAATTTGATTACATATATTAATAAAAAAAAAACAATGTAATCAAAATTAGACTGGATAAAAGGACGAAAAGAATGAGATAGATAAAATGAGTTAGATGAAAGAAATGAAAAAAAATGTTGTTTAAACAGTTACAAAAATGCAACATTTTTAATGCAAACTGACTGTTTTAGAAAATGAAATAATAAATTAATGATTTGTTGTGTTTTTCATATTTAAAAAAGAAAGATTATAATAAATAAAATAACCAAATAAATTGCATCAGTCGTCGGAAGTCGTCAAATGATATAGATGCTATCTAAAATGCATTCAAAGAAATCGCGTGATAATATTGGCGATTGTCAAAATCGCCAGTTAAAAATATTCACCCGACTATTGATTGCACACAAGCCACACGCCGGCCGGTTAGTAGTTGGGTGGGTGACCACCAGCGAATCCCGGCTGTTGTATGTTTTGCTTTTTTACTTCTTTGATCTTTTGATTGTTCGTTGAAAGGGGCTGTTGGGCTACTCTACTCTCCATCGGAATGCATCAGACGAAGAAGTTGACCTGATAAGCGAAACGATATCTGAACCACCTTTCGAACGACTGCCGCCTAAGCGAATGGGACTGTATTAGATGGGGTTGACCATGACTGAAAAGATGTATGTATGAAAAGGCCAATCCGATACTATCAGAGAATTAGCCAGTTCGCCGAGGGCTGGCTAGGTAGTGAAGTAGCTAGCGTCAATGGTATAATATGCCTATCAAAGAGGGTCGATCTAGTTCAGATCCAAAAGGAACGAAGAAAGGTGATGCGCTTAAATGTGTGTGCGTGTGCTAAAGACTGATATTTCCCTTTGCACCCACGCTTTTTGGGACTCCAGGTCACATTCATCGAGGTGTCAATTATACAATATATTGCTTGGCTACTCTCACGGCCAAATGCCAGAAGCATGACCCACAGTGCGTCAAATGATGTAAAGGCCTTTTCCTTGCTGGGCCTGATATCTTGGCATGATGGAATCAAACCAACATGAGCAGCTCTTAGGGAGTTGGTAGAGCAGGCCACGCAATATGGAAATGACCGTTCGCTGTACCTCATTATGAACTTAGGAACGAGACATTGGGGGCAGGCCTCGGACCACAGCCCGCGGTATCTTTCAGTCAAATTGAAATTCCCATGCAGTTTAGGGGCTGAATGGGTCAAAACAAGGTTCCGTTGAAGCACTGTATTCATGCTGTGAGCAAGGCCATGACGATACATTAATGCGAGCCACGATTTCCTCGCTGTGGCTGAGATTCCTGATAGGGGTTCGCGCCAATTATGTTGGCCATCGCAATTGTGCAGACAATGAGCGTTGCGGATGCAGTTATTCTACCAATTGTGTAGTATGCGTTTTTGGGATACTATAAATGAGGTAGAGCAGGTAAGCCTATGGCTCTCATCTACTGGAATACGATGCGATTGAAAGAACGTGGCAACAACCATAGTGGATGAAGTGGGCCTAGAATAAACGCCGTATGAGGGATTATTCGGTGCCTGAGGCATCAGTTATCCTGTTCAGCTAGCCTGGATACAACACGCAGCCATTGGCAATTAGCATGCTAAATATAACAGGAAATCAATTGATAGAAGACTCTGTTCTACTACATCGGTCTATGACTTATTGATGGCCCTCTATCATTATCCACCCCTCAAAGCTATTGAATATCTTCCGAGAGGTTTCCGCTAAATATATCGAACACTAGGTACTGTACTATCGCGAAAAGCTACTCGAGTACTAACAAACAACACATCAACCCAAACATGGGCCATTGGCCTAATGGTATTTGGCACATGAGTACTCCGTAGTAACGTTCATTTGGTTAGCCTGATCTACAAGGGTCAATTGCTACGTCCGCCATCAGCGGATCTCATTCCGAAATCCCCGACCACACGCAAGCAAGACTTGTATACGGAGTACGCGTCCAAGCATGAACTACTATAAGAATAGCTTATAGTTTTCCAGTCAAAAACACCCTGTAGTATGTACGTCAGCCACGGCGCAGACCCCGAGATTTGTCAATGATGGGGCAGAACACAAGTACGTAGAGGTGTCATATCGCATTCAACTCAAATTCCTGATCTGCAAGTCTAAGTTATGCGCTGGCTCTCGATTTGAGTTGAGGTCTGTGCTGCTCGGTTACTCCGCAAGAGCTCTCTCGGTTGTTTCACAACAACAATTAGAGCAGAATAGTGGCGCTTTTTACTTTTTTTTTTGACGTGTTGTTTTGGCTCTAGGCAAAAATGATAGCTTGGGAATTTTTGATCCCTGATCCCGGCTGCGGTTAATATGTCTACCTGGTCGCAACCAATCAAAAAGTGTAGATGAAATGAAGTGGGTGCGTGTCTTGGCACTGCATATGCGGAATCCTGCGCGACAAAACCCAAATCGGGAAATGTAGACGTTTCCTCTCCGCAACCACCATGAACTAAGATAAAGGAAGAGAAGTTATGGAAGAAAGCAAACTTGTCGCGTTGCAGATGATTATATGTTGTCACCCAATTCTGAAAACAAACGAAGACAAACCACCCATTGCCCCGACACCTACTTGCTAACCAGCCCTTACCCAGTTCCCTCCTGATCTTACTTAATAAACCATAAACATAACGAAAAACATGAGAATAAAATCATCAATCCTGTCAATTAGCATTCAATTTGCCCGATCTCCCATGCATCACTCTTCTCCCACGGACACTCAACCTCCACTCGTCGAATCAGCTCGTCATGCGCCTCACTGCGCGCCTCAACCTGAAGTCGATACGGCACGGGATGACTGACAACGCCAGGCAAGAACTCAGCCTTTGTTTCGTGAGTGTCTCCCTTCGAGAAGTTGAACACAGCGAGGGACTGTGCAATGGTTCCGAAAATCGTCGAGTCGGCGAGGAAGCGACCGGGACAGATGCGCCGACCGAAGCCGAAGGATAGTGTGTGCGGGTCGAGTTCGGGGTTGGGACCGAGGAATCGTTCGGGGTTGAACGCTGCAGGGTCGTTGTACGTGTTTTCGTCGTGCGTGAAGCCCCTGAGCGTGTCGTTGTTAGCATTGGATTGGTTCTGTTGTAGGGTAATTGGGGAAGGGAAGGATAGGAGCAGAGCGAACCAGATGTTCGGCATGATGATTGCACCCTTCGGGATGAGATGTCCCTCGTAGGTATCGTCTTGGGTGCAGAGGTGCGGGATGCCCATTGGTGCAACTGGATGCCATCGGAGTGTCTCCTTGACGACGGCCTCGATGTAGGGTAGTCTCTCGCGATCGTCAAAGGTAGGAAGTTTATTGGGGCCGAGCACGCGGTCGATTTCTTCTTGGGCTTTCGCTTGGACTTCGGGATGTAGGGCCATGGCGAGGAAGAAGCAGGAGAGGGCAGATACAGTCTGTTCATTGCATTGTCAGCCTTCGTTCCATAAGATGGGTGAGAAAGCATACAGTATCCGCGCCACCGGTGTACAGCGACCCCGCGGTCCATTTGTTCACAAGCTCTTCTTCCGGCGTGAACTTGCCATCTCCTTCCTCGAGTAGGCTGGCTAGATAGGAGGGGGGATAGGAGCCTTGGCTCATCTGCTTCTGAACTAGCCGGTAGGGTTTCTCAATAGTGGTAAGGAGGTTCTTGCGCCAGCTGCTGCCGGTGCGTTTAAATCCGGCACCGGGAAACCATGATGGGATGTATTTTACTGCAAACATTAGACAGCGAAGACATTTAGTCAAAACAAGTAAGTACTCACATAAAGGGATGGCGTCAACTAGCCACGCCCCCGGAGTCCCCGCGACGGAGAAATTATCCATCGCCTGGTTTGCCAAGTCGACAAGGGGGTCGCGACCATGAGGCTCGATCGTGTAGCCATACGCAATTTTGAGAATCACAGCGCCGGCCTCCCTACTCACATTAGGTACCTTGCGAAAAACAGAGAAAGTAAAGACATGTGGATAGCCTACGTCCGGATATGTTGAACCAGATCATTTGGTTTCTGTAGCACTCGCAGTAAGAACCGACGGATTTCAATATCCTGCAGGGCATTAAAGCGCGATGTAACCGCCTTCGAGCCTAGAACTCGATGCATCACTTTGCGGTACGCGCGAAACCGATCGGAGTAGGTCTGCATGGCTAGGATATCCTCCCATCCCACCCTGGAAATGTCAATAATATACTCCGTACCTAATCACTCGAAAGAAAAGTGACAGAGGACGCTTGGGACTTACATTTCTCCCGCAAAGACCATCCTCGGTCGAGAGGAGTAAATGGCCGAGCGTTTCTCGAGGAGATCGAACGCGATGCGAGGCTCATTGATGATGACAATGGTTTGGCCAAAGATAGTGATCGAGCTGATGGGACCTGTTGTCGATTGATTAGGACGATCTAGTCTGATATCGAATCAAATATCGGGGCGCAGGATTCGGAAACATAAAGAAGGGGTAAAAAGGGGGCGTTCGATGTAGCAGTGTGAAACGCACCATAGAGCTTCTTGAACTGCATCCAATACTTCCAATCTTGCTGTCCCGGTGGCGGCAGATCCGCCAGATTTCCAATGATCGGTTTCGGCTTGGGGCCCGGAGGCAGAGGCGCTGCTGTTTGCTTGGGAAACACGACAAGCTTGACCAGATACAATATCACCAGGCCCAAAAGGGCGCCGTACAGGGAGGACAAGGCCATGGTGGCAGGGGCAGGGACAGAATGAGATCTGGTCTGCAGTGCCCAAAGTACCGGGAAGGAGGACAAATTACAATTGTACAATTTATTAGCTGGGTCAGGGGTGCCTCTTAAGCATGAATTTGTGACTGATCAAGTTTAGGAGAAAAGGAAAGAAGCCGGAATTAAATCTAGGGATGTGCGAGTGCAGGCACCAACGATAATTTTGTTCGTCAGCAACGCACAGTCCGAGCACCGTTAGTTTAACTGGCATCATGACTTTCCCCGCCTGGACTGGTGGAGGCAGCGGGGGTGAAGGCAGAGCTAACGTCGTTAGTGAAAGTCTGACAGATAATCGTTTAAGGCCCATTGGCCGGTAGATCTGGTCCGTGGGAGAATAATTGGATTCTTCGGATTATTAAGAGCTGCTCTTTGTTACACTGCAGAACAAAAGTACTGCCGACGGAGATATCTCCCACGTCAAGGTAGGGCTCAGGCCAAGCACTACATGTGGTTGATTCCATCTCCCCGGTACATATGCTAAATTTTCCTGGTAAGAATCTCTTTGAAGGCTGTGACTATGGTCATTGACACGTAACTCGGCCGGCAGCTCCCGATCATCGCCAATATATGCAATTTGGAAAAGAAAAAGCAAAATCGCGAGCGACCCACCACCCGCTGTCAAGTATCGGCCTTGCATGTGAGATAAAATGCAAAACTCAGAGTTTGTGATCAGTCAATTCCAGCTAGCTGTCTCTCCCTTGCAGCACCAATCTAATTTCCAGGAAAGGTTGCGACCGGTCAGAGACAGCTAATCCTGTGCATTCCGGATAGGTCATCTGGCTACAACTCTAAGAAATTGGTGACAAAAATTTTAATAGTAATCTCCTATGTAGTTGTCAGCGGGCGGTCCCAAATCCACCGTTGCAGATCATCATCCGAGCTAATGGATAGCTATTCCTTCTACTGCTGCGATGGCCTGGTCCCTGCGGCACGGTACTTTCTTCCGAGGTGATAGGGAATAGGTGTCCCACAAACATTATTATTGGGCCCAAAGCTGCATATCCCGGAGGCGCACAGTCCATTTTCAAATCCCCGAGCGTGGTTTGTCTATTTGACAAATGAACTTGTGCGTGCAGAGTAGGGGGGTAAACATGACCAGTAAATTTATCTTAGCGGAGGGCTCGACCTGGAGGCTTCTACTTAAACCGTCCAGAGAACAGACAGTCGGAGTGTTGATTTCATGATTTCTCTTCATCTTTCCTAAACCAAGTCGTGTAGCTCTCATTCACATGATGAATTCGACTATCTCGGACGGCTTCCTCGGGGGGCTGGCAACCTGTGCGGTAGGATATTCCTCGGTCCACTTCTGTACTCCTGTTTCTCATTGATATTGTCGCCCAGGCCGACTGCTTCACCGCTGTTCTGAAGGCATCATCGTGCTCTGCAACAGATCAGTCCTGCATATGCGCGAATGAGCCCATTCTGACAAACGCGATTGGTTGTTTTGCTCTGCAGTGCACGCCCAAAGATAATCTTGGTATGGACCATAACAGCTGGGACGAGACTTCAGCATTAACCGGTGCCTAGCCTCGACAAACGCGACAAGAGCAGCATGTGGGGTCCCGGAAGAAAATCAGTCGGACTTGACTCCCGGACTAGCGGGTGGTTTGGGGATGATGGCTTTGATCATGGTGATCTTGCGGTTGGTACAGAGGCTTTGCATCAAAAAGTCATTCGGATGGGATGATGGGCTGATCCTGATGGCACTGGTGAGTAAGGTTCGCTCTACGAGTATTCAATGGCTAACAAAGATCAGGCTTGCGCTGCTCCATTGAACTGTTTAGCCTTTCCTAGTGAGTCCAGTTCGTCTTCCGATAATAACAGTTGCTGATATCCGAGCAGTGCAAAAGTATGGACTTGGCACCAATATCTGGACCATTCACTTTGATGACATCACCAAGCAGCTCAAGGTACATTCCTTACGAGTTTGACGCTAGGCTTATCGAGAGTGCTAATATGTTACAAAGTTGCTCCTCCTCGCCGAAGTCTTCTATATGCCTTCCGAAGCCTTCACCCAGCTTTCCTTCCTCACATTCTATCTCCGGATTTTCCCGCCTTCTAAATACCAATATATTGCATATACACTGGGAGCTCTATCAATTTGTTTCGGGACATCCAACACTCTCGTCATGATCTTTCAGTGCACACCTGTGTCTTTCTTCTGGACAAATTGGACCGGTGAGACCATGGGTTCTTGTATCGATATCAGCGCATATTCTTGGTATCGTGCCGCCATGCAGATTGCAATGGATATATCTATCATTGCGCTTCCCCTCTGGCCACTCTCGATGCTGCAGATTACCATGAGCAAAAGGAAGAAGACTATGATCATGCTGATGTTCTGCACGGGTTTCCTGTACCAACCCCAACATTCCTCCCATAAATCTGTCACCACTAACACCAACTAGGATCACCGTGGTGAGTTGCCTACGACTTCAATCTCTAATCAAATTCTCCAAATCCGCCAACATCAGCAGTAAGTCTCTGTCAAGTACCCTCTCCAAATCATACACTGACCCTGTGCTAGTGGACAACAACCCGGCTATCTACTGGAGTATCGTAGAATGCGACGTTGCCATCATCTGCGCTTGCATGCCATGCATCCCGTCACTCCTTAAACCGTTATTCCCATCCTGCTTCGGAAATACAAGAAAGTATACTAGTGCCGAAGACGGCGACGCGACACCACCGCCGGTGCGTATGGAGCGCGTCAAGAGAAAGGAGGAATTCAGTATCCTTCAGACAACTGCGTCGGAGGATGCGTTGGTGAACGGTCGATGAAGGGACAGATTAGAGGGCTCCGTGACTATGCATTTTCATGACATCTCTCTTTTTTGCTCGTTTCCTTGGTTTCGGGTGTCAAGTTAGCGTGGCAGGGTAGGTTTGTGGCTTTTTAGAATTACTAAATATAATGGGGGCAATTTCGCACGATAGGTTGATATCGTAGAGGTATGGCAAGAGTCTCTTTCGACGCTAGTCAGGGCGTAATTCTTTCTACAATGTTACGATTTCAATGGACTGCGAGTTCTAGATAGGGCTTCAACTTGCACGGGACGTCCAGTTTCGGACTCTCCGCAGCGAATCCCGAGGTAATTCAAATGCTATCTGGCGAGAACTTCACAGACAGCTCACTTGACTGACACGAATCCAGCTAATGGCTTCACATCTACAGAAGACGAGAGGATCGAGGGATTTTACAACTATCAGTATCCTGCTTTAGACCAAGACGCGCAGTAGTTAGGTGAATGGAACTCACAGTTCGCAGACACACAGGTCGGGGGAACATGGTCCCGCTGGACTATCCCATCAAATCCAGAGCTACGAAAGACTAAACATGCTGACCAGCGGCTGGTTCCGACAGAATGAATCTCGGTTGGAGAGAGCATGGGGGTAATACGAGCTGGCCGGGCGGTTGATGACCGCTCGATCAACCCGCCAAGACAGCGACAGATTGAGCGATTACTATTAATGATATTGGGAGGAGCTGGATTTGAGCGTGTTTACTTTTCACAAACCGACCGAGCGACCGAGGCATAAATTCGGGAACGAAGAAGGATTGATGCCTCAGGCTGTTGGCCACACCGAGGAAGTCCTCAACCTCGGCCAGGAAATCATATCTGAATCAGTTTTTTCGAAGGAATGCGTGTTCCGGGCACTCCGCAGTTGTCAAGAACGTCTTTCCAGTCAAGGGGCAACCTCACGCGGTCTATGGTGGATGAACGGCGCAACTGCCCGAGTGGACCCTGTTTCGGGACTCGGGATGGCACAGGAAGAAGTCGGGACAGGTGCGAGTCGACCAGCTTCTAGACGGGACACCGGTCGGTGGGGGTTGTTTTGGTTTTACGTAGACGAAAGCAGTTGTTCCAGGCTTTTTCGACGGGCCTGCCTGTTTGGCACTTTTTTTCACCCCGCCCACGCTCTTACAATTTATTCCAATCCCACAATACAGCGAGCACAAAATATGGTTAGATGATGTCGATTTGTGGGAAATGTTGAATCATGTCATATCGTGTGAATTTCTTTTATCCATGATATCAGTAAATATACATGAAGCCATATCTTGACTCAATGCAACATATATACAACCCAATGCAAATTCCATCCAATGCATCAAACTCGGTCATGTCTTGTGTACATACATAAATGTTAAGTTAGAGGGAAAAATAAAAACGCAACCATCCCATATGCAATGTAAATGTAACCAGACAAACACGCATAAAAACAGCAAAAAAAAAATACATCGCTTAAGCCTGAGCAAGCTTGGATCTGGCTCTGATAGCCGGACCGAACTTGAACAGGACAAACGGAATGAGCGTCAACAGGGTGGCGACCAGAGCCAGAATCAATCCAGCGTACTGGCTACCGACATTGTGGAAGAACTGAGACGCGAAGAGGGGAGAAATGGCACCGAGGGTGTTACGCATGAAACCCTGGCCGGCGATGGCGGACGAGGAGTTCGTGCCGTAGCAGTCACTCGTGAAGGAGTAGCAACTCTCGAAGATGAAGAAGATACCGATGGTGATGAGCGCCAGGGCGATGACGGGGGCGATCCAGTGGAGGTACTCGTACTGTGTGAAGCTGTAGATGAAAAGACCAATGGGCAGCCAGACGGCGCCGAAGAGGGCACCGTACAGACGAGCCTCAGGGGGCGGGTTCTCGCCGTTCTTGACCATGCCTTCGAACTTGCGGATCTGGAGGAAGTTGAGAGCGAAACCCATAGTGGTACCCAGGACGAGAGAGATGTAGGGAAGGCCGGAGACACCCTCGTTCCAGCCCTTCTTCTCGTTGAAAGTGATCGGGATGACGGAAAGGAAGAGGAAGGTCAGGAACCATGCGAAACTGATCCACAGACCGAAGAAGAACACGACGGATTCGGTCATCAACATCTTAATGGCTTTTACGGACGAGTTGTGCAGCATCTCCTTGATACCAGGGGCCTCGAGCTCGTTGGCGGCACGGTAGCGCTCGTCACCTGTTTGGCTGCGGAGGAGCTTGGCGCGCTTGGTGAGGGCGACGGAACCACGGGTTTCACGGAGGCAGAAGATGATGGCAATTCCAAGGGGAATGTTGGCGAGACCCTGGATACCCTCAACCCAACGCCAGCCGAGGGCCTGGTCGATGAATCCGGCGTAGATGGGCGCACCAACGGTACCGAGGATAGCGATGTACGAGAAGGTAGCCATGGGGATGGCACGCTCCTCGGGCCGGTACATATCATCGAAGGTACCACCGACCAAGATGGTACCGACACAGCCAAAGAGACCGAGCAGCGCACGGCAGACGAGGATGGTGGCGATGTTCTTGCCCAGTGCGAGACCGATGAACATGAGGGCGAAGCAGACGTAGGAGCCAACGTAAACGACACGACGACCAGCCAGCTCACAGAAGGGGGCCAGGAAGAGAGGAGCCAGGGCACAGGTAAAGTTGAAGCAGAAGAGACCGAGCTGACCGAGCTCTTCGGACACGCCAAATTCGGTGGTCATCTTGCCAATACCGGAGCTGTAGGCGGTGGTAGCGAGACCAATGAAGAGCGTCATTAGACAGAGGAGCATCGCGATGAAGGCCTTGTAGCGCGGGTTCCAGTTGAACGGGTCCTCCGGGTCGTCGGGCGTGAATTCGACCACGATATATTGGTTGCCGTCGTGAACTTGCGTGCGGGTGAGAGTGAGCGGGAGGTCGAAGTCGAAGGTCTGCAGAGGGCCAGCGCCCTCATGTGAAGACATCGACGACTCATCTTCGATCTTCTGAATGTGCTTGCCGCCGACGACACGGCCGTGAGAAGGCATGGCCTGTTGCGAGGATGATGAGGAGGCGTTTTCCGTATGAGAGGCAAGGCCTGGCTGTGCCTTATCGGATTCTGTAGCAATTTTATTGTCCATGTTGGCGGTGGACAAGCGACCCTTTAAAAGCGAGGAGAGAAAAAACGGGGTAAAAGGAGGATGGGGTCGAGAGAAGGTTCAGGATGGGGAAGCAAAAACTGGACAAACGAGGGAGGATGAAGCCCTAACTATATGTGATCCGGTGTCATCGTGAAAAATGCCGCGGCCACGCTGGACGAGCCCACCCATGGCATCATGGGACAGACAGGCTTTTCTGGTGCCTTCTCCACGGGCAGCTCTAGGTCAATCATAGTGAGATGTGCTACACTGCCCGGGTGGGTCTGCTCAACCAGACTTGAGTTTGCGCTGTAACGATTTTGGAGGTCTCGGGCCCTGACCCAGACTGGTATAAACTTCGGGGAAACCTTCAGACTCTCTACCAACTGCTAACTGATGGTAGAAGAGAATGAACCCTTCCAACGTGATATGGTTCTTCGACCGCCAGATAATTGCGTTAATTACAATGATATCCCCCATTTCCCCAACTCCATAACCCCTTAAACCCATTTCCTGCCTCACGAGAAAAGCCGGGCCGAAAGAGAAATCCAACGTAATCGGAACTCGCCCGAGATCCTTCTCCATCATTGGACCTTCCAACCCCCACGCCGTCCGTTCGGCATCCCGATTGTGGTAAAGAGCTGCGACGTCTCTGCCATCGGGCCGATTCGGAATTGCCACCCCATGGGTCTCCAACTCGACTAATCTTCCCTCCGAGCCTCCGGTGCAAGTCGGTCGGTAGGGGTGCATCCTCGGCTTCACCTCGGCGAAACCCCCTCTTCTAGCGTCAAGCCGGGTGTTTTCGCCCGGAATGCCGGTGGACGGAATCGGGATGGTGTGTGATTGTCCCCCTGTTCTGTGTTCGCGATATCTGGAGAATCTGGAGACACGGGGAAAATCACCTAGAAACATCCCCCAGAGAGTTCAATGCAGGGGTTCTCGAGGTCGGCATTTCACTACTGAGGTCGAAATTGAGACATATCGAAGAGAAAATAAGAGACGGAAAGTGAGGCAGCCAAGCTTCGGGTTCCACCGTGCACCAGACCCACTCGCATTGGAATCCGAATCTGGTAGGAAGCAAAATCTGATTCTGGCTCTGCGTCCGAGAATGTGCGGTGCGATGACATAGCTGGCTTGGGTTTGGCTGTTTGGTGCCAATGCCGTGCCAACCCGGTCCAGGGCTCAACGGGTTGAATCGGGGTCATGGGACCTACTGATGACGGCTGACCGATTGTTCTCTTGTGCTTGAGACTGACAGCGTCACTCCTTGTTTTGATCTGTGATCTGACACCGTGTCCTCGTGACGGATACCCTCAATCATATTAGATTATCTTGTTTGGCACGTTGCTATCACTTTGGCTTTGGAGACAGTGGCAAATAGTCGATCTGATGTCGCTGTCCCCTTGACTGTGCCTGTCAATCACACAACGGTGAATTAATGCATTTCATTACTCCGTAATGTTCGCGGTGTGAGAGGTGGGTAATTCATTTATTCCCTCGGATCTTTTATCCACCGGCGTGGGATGTAGTCTACCACTAGTCATGGATAGTGTAGATATTACTATTACTATTAGTGAGCTGCTCCTCTTGGTTGCCTCACGCGAATTGAGCCTCGACATGCGCCGATTGCCTACGTAGACGACAGCATGGTTGATTGTTCCTTCATCTCAAATTGCTCCTCTTGATTCGCCAACCCATTCTCAGGACAAGATATAATCATACGACGCAAGACAATCAAGAAATCCAGATCAAGTAGTCCGATTCCAGAAGAAAACAATCCATGACAGCATCATACATCAGTTGAATGCCTCAGAAAGAACAAATCAATACAAATGTAAAAGCCGGTTTTTCACACCCGCCAGAGTGAGGGTACGGACTACGGACTCGCGGCACGAGAGCAGTTTGAGGGAACGAGGGATTTGCGGGTTTGCCACACCGGACTTGAAACTCTTTTTTGCTGCTCTCCACGAAACGGGCGTCTACCGAGAACAACGCTGATCGGAGATCCTGACCTGAGTCGCGACTGGATGAGTTGCGTAGCCGCCGGAGCCGAAACTCTCATGAAACTGATCTGGGTAGAATCAGAATTTTCATTGCTGTCTGCAGTCCTTTTTCTCGAAAAGGGGGAGATTCGCCCAATTGCCACACCTTAAAAACTCTAATCGAGTGAAGATCAGTTGGAGATGATTATGTAACCGCCACTCGACCACAGTTCGCATTCCTAGTTGAGGTCGTGTTTACATTCCAGCGGCAAGAAGGGGGAGATCATAGGAAAAGGCACTTGATACATGTGTTTTTTCAAGCAGCAACTATTGTATTTTAGTCATGTTATCATGGCAAGAGTCAACCGTCTTTGCTATTCCCGAATTCAGCCGATATTATGAAGCATCAGACATCGACGGAGTATTCTTATTGACACCGTTTAGACTAAAACAACGTGCCATCCCCCAGGATCAAGATCGGACTAGACCGTGTCTCCGGTCTCTTCTCGGCCGCCAGCTCCCTCCCCGCCTTCCACGTTCCTGCCTCCAACACTTGCGGAAGTGTTAGCCGCTGTGGTCCCAGATCCGTCTGCTGGATGGCCTCGTGCACACGATCAAGCAACGCGACCGTCAACGCACGCCACTCAACGATCTCGTCGGCTGTGGCATCGAACGCAGGCAGATCGACACTGGAGTGCTTGACTCCGCGGGCCAGTGCTTCGGGCTTCAGTGTCAACACGCCAGTGTCGATGAATACGCCGCCGTTGCGGTACTCGGGGAGGCCGGTGGCGATGTCCGCGTTCTTCCACGTTATGGAGAGCAGGCGCTCGAGTGGCACCATGAGAGAATATGCGAGCCATTGCGTGAGCTTGTGGAAGGGCTGGATGGTGTGATATGGTGAGTTTGGGGAGGGAGGGTGGTCGGACAAGGCTTGTAGGGGCCAGGCATCACCGACCGGGTGACCGGACAAATGCGTTCGAGTTGAGGGCCAGATCGGCAAAAGAACATTCTGGAGTGTTGTCCAGATTATTTGAAAGTCGATGGTATTGCCCTTGCTTGCTTGAGATACGAGGTAATCTATCGCAATGTGAGCTTGTCCGCCGATCATAGGCCCAATTATACTTGGTTGGATACGTACCGACGAGAGACCCTGGGCGTCCAGATTCACCGAATACATCACGGAGACGGAGTAGGGAATGGCCTAATGATCTCAAGAGCTCTACTCTAGCCGGGACTCCGACGAAGGGGTTCTCGTCTGTTATTTGAAAGCCATCGCGAAGCGTGTTCTCGCTGAAATCACGCAACGTTTCTCCTGTTTCCGTTTAGCACTCTCGATCTCCTCCTAATACCCAAGGCGTATTGCAGCAACTAACCAAGCACCACATCCTTGCGCCCAAAAGGAGCAGAAGAAAATTGTCCCTTCAGAAACATATGTAGCGTGGCAACCGCAATGCCTTCACTGCGGCCCAACACAAGCCCGGTATCTGGCTCTGTAAACCGCCACTTGTCTCCCGCCCCGGCATCGAGCAGGACAGACACAAAGAACAAATCCACCAGCCCACGCGCCTGTTCGGTCTTGCTGTATCCAGCAGATTCCCACTGGCAAAGGAGCTTACCGATCCGGTCAACGGAGCTCACTTGAAAATGTTGCCAGCGGCCGTGAGGGGGGATGTTATGGAAATTGTTTGGACCGTAGTCGCGCTGCTTCGTCAGCTTTTATCTTGTCATTGTATATGCTGTCCTTGATATATTCACCCTGATAATACCAGCTACATACTGCACAGCATCATCAAGCCGGTCCTCATGGTAGTCGAAATGGTTGAGGCGATCCTCCTTGGCGAGGGACAAGATGTGATTGGCTCGCTCACGAACAGCCTGGAGACTCAGGATATACTGCACGTCTTGGTTCATCGCGTAGTTACTTTCAATCGATTATAGGTTTGAAAATATGAGATCGCTCCCATAGTATCAGTCTGGGGAAGCGGAGAAATATAAAGCATGAGTAATTCCGACTGTTGGGATGCGGGGTTGGACACTTATGTCAGCCAAATGATCATTTCAGTGACTAAAAGTAATGTTCGAGTGTTGCATTGCCACTTGGCATGTTTTTTTGCCTTGATTCGAGCAGGTGTGGGTGGTTTGATGCTCTCGTGCCCAAATTGTTATGCTGTGGAGTGTTTACAGGAAAGTTTGGTCGATACCTATCGTGCCGTAACTATCACAGGTAACAGGAGATACGGTACTTACTTTTTAACATGAAACTGAGAGAATTCCCTTGAATATACCTCGTTCTATAAATTAACAATCACTGAAGAGTGGTTTCTTAGGCTACTGACGCTGAATTACCAAACACCAGTGCTATACTCGGATGAGAGCTTGAGTTTTACAAATATATATCCAGAACTTGAGCCCTTGGTAAGCCATTATTGCCATTATAGATCAAGGGATGAATTACCGATGACAAGTAACTTCGAACAAAGCTACTGACATTACGACATAGAATCGAATTGAGTATCATCAACGAATTCAGACCTCATGTGGTCGAGGGGCTTGAGTGTGACATCGACATACATAACACTTCCCTTGGCTTGGCAACGTTCGGCAAACGGAGCACTCCGAGATCGTCGGAGAACTTACCATAGGAGGAATAGTTTGAAAAAAAGGAGGAAAGCAAGCTGGGGATTTGAGTGAACAGGGGTGATCAGCAATGTTCATGAAAGCATTTCTGTTCCCCTGCAATTCGTTTTTCGTGAGCCCTAAAACTTAACGCTTGCGTTAAACTCCCTGGCCTGCATTTTCCAAATTATCCGAAAAGCAGCGTGGAACTAGTATTTTTAACATAATTTGCAGTGGACTGTAATTCGTTATTTACACAGTGCCAAAGGCATGATTGCGGCTATCGGAATGAGTTTAGAAGGGTAATAATTGAATTACCGGTCCAGACATTCTGAATGGCTGCACAATACTCGGAAATACGGAATATGCACGCCAGAAGGTCTAGTTGCCTCTCTGGATTTTCCGAAGCAGAGTTTTCGCGAATTGAGGAGGTTATTGGCAACGGAAATGAAATCCTGTAAGAGCTTTTAATGACTTGTTCTTACTCCGGAGTAGGTCAATTCTTTGATTTAGTAAGGGAGGATCGAGGTGAGCACGTGAATTGCTCACTGGAACATCGTTGAGCCATTTTAAACCTTTCAAAGTAAGCCCTATCTGAATATGGACATAATTATTCCCAGATGTCTTGTACCAACGTAGATGGCAGAGTCAGAAATTAGAAGTGATTTGTTAGACACGTGTCCAAATTACTGCAAACTCTTGCGTTCCATTCAAACCCGGCAGACTAGGCTACAGCATATTTGAAAGGAGGGAGAAGGATCAGACCCCCACCCTTGTTCTTCCAAGGAGCCAAGATTATGTATGAAAGGAATAGTGCACCCACGAAATGTCTCATCAACCAACCAGCATTCTGCGAATGGTCAGTCGGGGCAAGATTGTCCGTAGGGCTGAAGTGGATCCAACACGGAGATACGGCACGGTTAGGGGAGAAAGCTTGTTTCTTTCTGATTACGCCGCTTCTGGGGTGCTTTGGGGAGCATTCATTTGGTTCACCTCTGGCAGAAGCGGTTTGGCGCTCTAATATCATTTATTCCCGAATTGGGAACTGGTATGTTGGTGGTAGCCTTTGAGTTCCCGTTTATCAAGTCGAAATACAGTTCTTTCTACCGACAACATAACATTGAGTCACCAACTTCATCCACGGAACACGAGGTCAGGCCAATAACATGCCATGGATAGCTCGGCTCGCGACAATAGGACCACAAAAACTAAAATAGATACAGAAGAGCGACCACGTCAGCCCTACGAGGGACCGGGGGACCTTGAGCGCCGGGGTCGCCCCGGTCGAGGGGGTTTTCGCCCAATCGGGTGCAGCGGGCGGCAATGTGAAAGCGGGTAGGGCTGAGACCACGCAGGCAGCAAGGACGGTTGGTCCATCCTTGTAGGGAAAATGGGTTTGATCGGTGGGGACGGAGATTGAATCACTGGTGGGCCTGATCATCCTGGCACAGGCAGCGTGAGTCCGATAAGTGAGAGGTCACTCCCCCCTGTCCGGCTCATTCTCTTTTCCCCTGCTCCAGCACGTCCGATTTCAACGACAGATGGCACTCTCGTTTCAAAATCAATTGTCCAACTGCCATGGATCACGATGCAGGGGTCCAACACATCTCTATTTTCGGGTAGAATTACCTTAAAGCTACTATGTGCGGCTTTGTGCTTTGGAATGTCAGGCACTTCGCGAGGTTTGTGAACACATTGCAGTGACCGAAGAATGGAAACTGACCGTCGGAATGCTATAGGTCTCGACGAAGGTCTCATCGCCAGCACAATAGCCGATAAACCATTCATCGACAAGTTTGGGCTTGAGGCTGACTATCTCAGCGCGGCCGAGCAAGCCAACCGACAGTCAAATGTCACTACCATGGTCACCATTGGCTGTCTGCCTGGTGCCTTCCTCGCATTCCTGTGGAGTGAGAAGATTGGTATTCTCTGGGCCATGAGACAGGCGTGTGTCATCTGGATCGTCGGATGCATTATTTTCTTGACATCCCATTCAATTGGACAACTCTACGCGGGCCGTTTAATAATGGGAATGGGCATCGGGCAGTTCGAGGTGCTGGCACCGGTTTACCTCGGTGAAGTGGCTCCCCGGGAGATGCGTGGGATACTGATCGGCCTATTTGGCATGTCAGAATATCTAGGTATCATGACAGGGGTATGTCCACCACATTCAAATCCTGGTGAAGTCCATGCTAAGAACCAACAAAACAGTATTTTTCCATATGGGGCGCATCCATCCACATTCCGGATTGGAGCTCGAAACAGTGGATCATCCCGCATAGCGTACAAATCATGTGGGCTGGCTTGCTGCTCATAGCCTCCGTATTCTGCGAAGAGAGTCCCCGATATATGTGTAAAAAGGGCCGCCACGATAACGCCGCCAAGACGCTGGCAAAGCTCTGGGACTTATCAGCCTTTGACCCTGCTGTCCAAGAAGAGATCAATAGTGCACAACGACAACTAGAAGAAGAATCCGGTCACACATCAGCGCGATCGTTTTTCGGGACGGCGAAGAGTCTGTTCACAACTAAGGAGAACCTTAAACGTATTGCCTTTATCTTTACCCTTCAGTGTCTAATTCAGTGGTCCGGCCCTACTTCTATAACAAGTAAGTAGAGCCCCCATATGTTTTTAGCAGGATTTCCAACAATACATGACATCTAACACGGCAAACAGCTTACGCTCCCCGCCTTTTCGCTCTGTTCGGCATAGAGGGCCAATCCCAGACACTCTTCACGACAGCCATTTTTGGCGCTGTGAAGTTTGCCTCCGCGCTCGGCTCTGCCCTTTTCATGATCGACTTGCTTGGTCGACGCAGAACACTCTATATCGGACTAACCATGCAGCTGGTGGCATTTGTCTACTGCGCCATTTTTCTGACCATCTACTCGACCCTGTCGGAGGCATCGCAGGACGCGCTAGCCGCAAAGCATGCTGCTATCGGCGCCATCGTCATGATTTATCTGATCGGTGTAGCATGGGCATTGGGTTGGAACTCCATCCAGTACATTATAACCGCGGAGATCTTTCCGCTTCACGTGAGACTCGCAGGGTCGAGTTTGGTAACTATATGGCATTTTGGAAACCGGATGGGCACTTCAAAGGTATGTCATGGACGAATGAAAGCAACTGGGAAGTTTAGGGAAGTGGACTAATAGTGGTGTCTCTAATAGGCCGTTCCCACTATGCTACTTGAACATGGGTCTATGGCACCAAAGGGAACTTTCTGGTTCTTCTCGGCGGTGTCGCTCGTGGGTATGATTTTCACGTGGATGTTTCTCCCAGAGACGTCGAAGAAAAGCTTGGAGGAGACAGGTGATCTGTACACGAAAGGAAGGGCTCATGGAGAGGAGAGCAATTAGAGGTTACAGGTAAAGGATCGCGGGACGCCAAATTACATGATGGAAAGCTTGAGAAGTGATAGTATAGGATTTTGGAAACCGGTAGCATCGGGTTTCTGAAGTGATGGAAGTGTTGGTCTAGTTGTGTCTCAGCTCATTCTACACTACACGCATATGAAATCGATCCATTCATTACTTGCTTCTCCGGGAATTAGCAGTATATTCTGATGCTGAAACAATTTAGGAAACAGCTTGATGTTCCAACGTAATCTGTGAGGTGGGCGTTGAAAGCACAATAATCTCTCCACAGTTTCGGAGAATGTGGTTGCTCAATCCGGAACTCCTGTTGACAGCAAGGGACATGAAGGACTGAGGAAACGCGACAAAGATCGAAAGAGCAGAACAAGTGGAGGGAGACAAGGTAAGAAACTTCTCAAAAAATGACAATCAATCACGTTTTCATCTGGGTCTCCCGGGCAGGCATGGAGCGCATGACACACTTCTATCGCACTGCCCTGGAGCCCCTGGCCTACACAGATGATATCCGCCTACAATGGAACACTCATTGGATAAGGTATGTGGCTGAAGAGGGCACCAGAAGGAAAATCGTTTCTTCCAACCCACATCGCGGTGGACGCACCTGGTGAGTTTTCATTCATTCTTTTTTCTTTCTTTTTTCCACCTCTCTCTTTCCCTTTTGGTATACGGGGTTATACTAAGGAAGCGAGACAATGCGGCCGTGGAGACATTCTATCACACTGGGCTGTAAGTTCCCCGACTTGACTTGAGTTAGTATGATACCTAACGTTTTCAACAAGCGAGCCGCGCCTACAAGCGAGCCGCGCCCTTTCCACCAAAATATCTGCTTTCTTAATTCAACGCGTCTTTTCTCGTCACCACAATTCAATATGCCTCTTTCTAAAGAATCGCGTATTCAGATGGCTATTTCAGCCTATCAAAAAGGCCAAGTTAAATCAATTAAACGCGCTGTGGCTCTTTTTACAGTTCCTGAAAGTACTGTACGCGACAGGCTTCATGGCGCCAAATCACGATCAGAAACACGCGCTAATGGTCATAAACTGACCGAATTTGAAGAGGAATTGCTTTTAAGGCGATTACTAGATGCAGATACGCGAGGATTTCCAATTCGACCCGAATTTCTACGTGGAATGGCCCAGATTTTGCTTCGCAATCGTGTACACGACCCTACCGCAGTTATCGGAACTAACTGGCCTTATAACTTCGTTAAACGCCATCCTCAGCTACGTACGCGATATACAAGACGTATTACTTATCAGCGCGCAAAGCAGGAGGATCCGAAAGTTATAATCCCGTGGTTTGAAGCTGTACGAGCGACTATTCAAGAGCACGGCATACATGAAGATGACATCTGGAATTTCGACGAAACTGGCTTTGCAATGGGACTTTGCTCTACTTCAAAAGTGATTACTGCAGTTGAGCGAAGCGAGCGACCGCGCAGAGTCATTCAGGGCAATCGTGAATGGGTTACAATCATCGAAACAATCGGATCAAAAGGCGTACATCTACCGCCAGTTATTATATTAAAAGCGAGCTATCAACAAGCTGCCTGGTTCCAAGAACCTAAGCTCCCTCGCGACTGGTGGATTTCTACTAGTCAGAATGGCTGGACGACTGATGAAATAGGTCTCCTCTGGCTAAAAAATGTCTTTGAACCGCTTTCTAAGCGCTATATGACTGGTGCAAAGCGGTTGCTTATTCTTGACGGTCATAGCAGTCATTTAACTGCTGAATTCGATGATTTCTGCAAGCAGAATGCAATAATTTGTCTCTGCATGCCTGCCCATACTTCGCATCTTCTTCAACCGCTTGATGTGGGCGTTTTTGGCCCGCTTAAAAGGGCGTACGGAAAGCTTCTTGAAGACCGTATGGCTGTTGGTAACAACCACATTGATAAAGAAGACTTTCTATCGCTATATCCAGATGCGCATAAGGAAGTCTTTACTCCAGCTAATATCTGCAGCGGTTTTAGAGGAGCAGGGCTTAAGCCGCTTGATCCAGAGTATATTCTTTCTAAGCTTACCTTTCAACTACGTACACCTACGCCACCACTAGTTGAAGGCTCAATTTCCTCTGCTTTTCAAACTCCGCAGAATACTCGTCAATTAAATCGAAAGGTCCGAAGCCTACAGAATAGCCTTAACAAAAAACGGCAGCTTTCTAGCAGTCCTATTGCTCATATTCGACATCTTGAAAAAGCGGCACAATTAGCGATGCAAACCCAGCTGCTTTTAGAACAAGAAATTAAGGCTATACGAGCTGAAAATGGACGGCAACGTCAGAGAAAGACAAGAAAACGTGCTGAGATAGGTAATGACCGCCTTTTTAATGTACAGGAAGGTGAAAATCGCGTTCAGCAGCTTGATACGCAGCTTAATGAGCAGCCTGCGGAATCTACTCCAGCGCCTCGTCGACGAGCTCCGCAACGCTGTAGTGGGTGTGGAACAGTCGGACATACAATTCGAAATTGCCCTAGAAAATAGCTATTATTTCATGTATTTAATTAGTCAAATTTAATGGCGTTGGTGGTTGAAAAGCCTTAGGAAGTAGGAGTTTTGGTGGAAAGGGCGCGGCTCGCTTGTAGGCGCGGCTCGCTTGTTGAAAACGTTATCTCACTTTGCGTGGGGGTTGTAGCGATATAGAATAAATTAGAATACAACATATGTACAAACAAACGGTCATATAACCAGATAAGCACGAACTTAAGCATGCAGAACCAATAAACCTGTTGCAACAGCCCCGAAACATCATGATAATTACTCTAGACCAGATTGAAGATCCCGGGATCAACAAGCCAAATGACACCAGCCGTGATAAGCCTATGTTAATTTAAAGTAGAAGCTCGGGGTAAAACACCATGTCGGACCTTCAGATACAGGCCGTTCAAGATCACCCTGATTCACGGCCCCTGACTATGACCAGCAAGCAATTGATGCGCCTCCAGCTTTACATGATCCATGCTCGCGTATTCACCATGCCAACACTTCTTGATTATTTTGCCACAGGGAACATCATCAACATTTAGAAATGAAGCAGGCCAAGAAAGGTCGGGGTTTTCAGCACTAAAGAAATAGTACTTATGAACCTTCCAGGAAGCAATAGAGTAGAGAATCCAGCCAAGGTGTAGGATCTCAATCCGAGCATTCAGATCATTTGCGGTTGTAGACGCGACATCTGCATCAAGTGGCAGCAAGATAGACTGGCCAAAGTCTGCGACTTTAAGCTGTTCATCTATAATTAAGATGTTCCGAAGAGCGATATCATCCACAAATACTTTGCAAGAGTGGATATGAGCGAAGGTCTTGATAAGGCTTAATATCCAACCAACCTTGAAAGTATCAACCGGTGATGGACAGCTTTCTAGGTAGGATTCAAGATCGCCTTCCGCAAGGGCTAGCTCGATCCCATACTGAGATGTTTCGAAACAGGGGATAATCCCTTCACAGCTACCCAGGCGTTTAAGTACTTGAATCTCATTCTCTAGAGCTTCTCGATTGATGTTGTTCATGTATTTTGCATCTCCGGCATCTCGGAGTTGAGATTTCTTAGCTTTCTTAACAACCCGACCGTCCCCTATATCACAAACAATCCCAGTCATGCCAATCCCAATCACAGGGAGGTCGACATAAGGATCATGAGTGAGCGGAGAGTGCTGAATATCTTGAGACTGGCTAACATTATTCTCAGGCTTGATCGGTAGAGGTAGTGATTGAGCTATATGAGGCTGTTCATCAGCTGCCGGGGGGTCGGCCTTAGAGAACATCGTCAATGAAGACGGCAAAGGTGGAGCCTATAGGCCAAGTTGATGTTTAGCAAGGGGGAGATCCATTTAGTGGCGGCCATTGCCAAGAATCATTACCTAAGTTCCAGTTCATCGCGGAAGAATGCTGTTCCTTCGGATCATCTAGAGGGCGGAAGGTTGATGATCTATAGAGTACGATTCTCTGGAATCAAAACCCAGGAGGACCAACGCGTTATGACTGTCAAAGTTGACTAGTAATGGACTTCAGAGAAGACTCATTGGAGGTAACACTTTTCATTGAAATCGAATCTTCAATAATATGCTTTGCGGAAGACTTCTATATAAAAAATGTGACCGCAGAGCGCGGGTGTAGTAAGAAAGGCCAGCTTTACCACGACCATATATGCGACCAGTCTTTTGTTCTGATTCCCACCCGATCTGCAAATGCGTCAATTCCAAGAGATCAGCGGCAAAAGGAAATCACCTTGACCATGGTTTTGTTTCCCTGGAAACCGTTGCCACCATGGCCGCGGAGCCCGCCACCCTTATGAGGACACTTGTGCGCACGCCCATGCCGCTGCCTACAACGGGGACACCTTGGTTGAAACTCGCCTTCGTGTTCTAGGCAATTGCATAGTGGCTGAGGGTATCTTGCTAGAAACTCCGTTAGCAAAATTCGAATACAGGATAGATTGGAGTCTTGACGGCCTATGCACATCTATCAGTAAACGTTTTGTTTGAAATGGGGATGAAATTGGTACATTTCAATCGAGAGGATGATGGAACTTGATGAACTGAAGGAAAAAGGGAAGGGAAAGAAGGAAAACCCACTTTGGGAACGATGGTGCCTTTGCCATTCTCACTCATGGTGTGAGGATTGGGTGAACCGACAAGTCAAGACCTGCCCGTCGTCACCAATTCTTTGAGTGAATTGGTAGGTGGTGAATGAGGAAGGCCCGAGTTTCTCTCTCTTATTGAACTTCCCAGTGTTATGGCCTCGTCGCCTGGCCTGCGTACCTTATCTTTCTTCAACTGAACTTAAAAGAAATTCCGGGTGTTGTCGACTTTTTAAAGGCTGAATTTGAACCATAGCAAGACCGGAGGGATGCGGGAGGGATCCACTCTAAGAGCTGCTCACAGGTTACCGCATACAAAGAAGCCAGTTATCCATGTGTTCCTTTATGACAATTCTCACCATAGTATCAAACGACTATGCCAATCTTCGAATCGTGCCCTAGACCTCGCTTCGACGTTCCCTCCGACAGTTGCCTCGCCATGGCCTTCCATCCTAGCGTCAGTGTC